TTAGAATGACCTACGATGACGGCGGAAAGAAAGTTGTGGATAAAAGTGCAACAGTGTGCAAGCAACACGTGTTATACCGTACTATAAAAGACATAATAGATCTCCCTAACAACATATCAACATATACCGAACTGAAAACCGTGACCGTGAACCGAACCAAACCGTGGATCTTGTGAACCGTTCCACCCCTAGCTCACACTGTGCGATGAATCCGCAGAGTTTAAAAGTTCACTGCTCACCATGTATGTTCTCACACTGTGTGGCCCGACGCTTAAATGCGATCTACCTGCTCACACTGTACATCTAAAAACCAGGTGGACTCAGCTCTGCAGTGAGATGGCGCTACTCGGACTCGTCTATCTGGAAGCCAAACGAGTAGAAGAGGAATATGAAGCTCACTAGAGTGAAATGTGCTGCCTTGGCAATTTGTGCGATTTTGCGCTAAAAAAAAAAAGGCTAAAAAAGCCCTAAAAAGAAAAGGCGACGACATATTTGGACAAAGACATGGCTGAGCAAACGTGGCTACTATGGTCTGTTAATTTTAAAGAAAGAACTCCATTTCACTCGCACCCTACTGTGTTTTCATTTAAGAAGAAGAAGAATCCTTGTTTGCGCACTGAGCGATTTGCCCACGACCACCTCACAGGTTTGATTTTCTCCCGACCTCACGATTACTGAACGGGAATTGGTCGTGAGAGGCAGATCGCCCCTTGTTACCCCCCGTACATTACATGAAGCACAATCAGGCTGAAAGTTGGCCCGATACAAAAAATCTCTCACAACTGGAAAGTCTTCCTGAAAAGGGCAATAATCGCTGAGTGTAAGCCTGGCTTAAGGAAAATGATTCATTGTTTCATAGCGGATTACAGTTAATAAATTGGTAGAACCTCCTTATGCTGCAGCTCTTTGAGGTTTCTCTGTTTTTAACATCTATGAACACCTCAGGTTTTCTTCAGATTCTCATTTAGGTTCAGATTTAGGGCTGAACTTTGACTAGGCCACTCTAACATAACTCTGACCTTAACCCATTCATTGCATCTCCGCCCATTTTCCCATTAAGGCTGACCTCCCTTTCTACTTTACAGTTACTGATGCATTGCATGTTGATTTTTCACATAAATACTCTGCTGTTTGTAAAACGACACAATAAAAAAAAACTGTATAAACATTGCGGTTACACAATCATTATAATTGCACAGTTTAACTGCTTTAAACCCACTAAAGTCATAACTAAGAGGTGATTAAAATTAGTGTTAGTTTAGTTCTAGCGGTTAAAATGATCATAGGGAATAAAAAGCTACAGAGCTGAATCAATCTTGTTCAGTCTGAGAAAACAGCTGAACCCAAAGGCGTCACAACAAAGCTTCCCATTATTATTATTACAGCTCAGTCATTTAGTGACAAAACATCACATTCCTAAAAGAAAAAAGGAGAGAAACCATCTGGGAGCTCAGAAACTTCCCACAGAGAAATGGGAGGAATCCTGCAGATCAGCACATTGAACCCGGTGCTGCTTAATTAGAAGGAAGGTGGCAGAAATCTGCAGCTCGGAGCTGAAGGCCTTTATGTCTGAGGCCGATGGAGAGAAACGGCTTTAGAGCAGCTAAAGAGGAGAACAGAAGCAGATCTGGACGTTTTATTTGCCCCTCATGATTTAAATTAGGTTTTAAAATGTCCCAGAAACATCTGCTAAAGTCCTTCAGTTCTCATCAGCTAAAACAAACCGGGAATAAAACAACAGCAAAAGACTTTCATTGTGTTATAAATCAGAAGATTAAAATATTCCCGCTTCATAACTTTTAAGTGAAGCTAATGTTAATAATTTACTGCTTTATTTCAATAGTTTACCAAAAAGGCTTAATAATCTCCTGCAGATATATTAAAATAAAGATCCCTGAAATTTTCATTTCCGTAACTCCGTATTGAAGAGAAACACGTTTAAAACTGATATTTTAAAGTAATTTATATTAATTTTCAGCTAATGAAAACATGAATTTAAGATTAAAATATTAAACCAGACCCAAAAACTATTACAGAAATGTGAACTTAATGTAAAAAAAATGTTGATGCCAAAAGTTTAATGCTTAATGGTTCTTATGCTTCCATTATTGCTTAGAAAACCAAAAATATAAAGGAATCAATCTGATTAATTGACTAGAAATGCTGTCCCCCAGGAGTGGGAACAGGGGCTCTGCATAGGCTGGTGGGGGAACAAGGGCCCTGCATAGGCTGGTGGGGGAA